ATGGCGCTGCACACCAGTGCGTCAAACTCAGCAGCACACAAGTGCTTGCTGGCAGCAGACAGCAGCGACTTCATCTGCAGCAGCAGCAAACAGCAGCAGTAGCAATACCAGCAGCAGCAGAGGAACACATATCATACAACCCGTTGCAGCAGCAGGTGCAGCAAGAATAATGAGTCGAAAGCAGCAACAGCAGCAGCAACGTCAGCACATGCATGCGACGACAACAGGTACTGGCACTGTAGCAGCAACTGCAACCCCTGCTGCTGTTGTTGCTGCTGCAACTGCTGCAGTTGAGCAGCTACACAGCTGGCAAGCAGCAGTGTAGGAGCAGCAGCAGCGAGCGAAGCAACAGCAGCCCCACTTACACCATACGGCGTAGCAGCAGCAAAGACAAAGCAGCAGCACCAGCAACAGCAGCAGGCAAAGATAAAGCAGCAGCAGAAGCGAGAGAAGCAATGATGAAGGAAAAGCAACAGCAAAAGCCAACGATAGAGGAGCAACAGCAGCAGCAGCAGCAGCAGCAGCAGCAACAGCAACAGCAAAACATACATACCTTCTGAATATTTGGTGCTCTGCTAGCAAGAAGATGAACAGCCTGGATATACACCTCAAGTGGGTTGAGGCCGCATTGCTGCAGCACATGCGCAGCAAGTTGGTGGTGCTGCTGCAGCAGCAGCAACACGCATAGCCGCACACGCTGCTCCTCCTGCTGCAGCAGCAAAGACCAGTTGTTACAGCAACTCGGCATGGCGCAGCAGCACTGCTGCTGCAGCACCACTAATTCCAGCAGCTCTTGTAGGTCGCGCTCATCCACCTGCAGCAGCAGCAGCAGAAACGGCAGCAGCAGAAACAGCAGCAATAGCAGCAGCAGCAGGAGCGATTGAAGCACAAACAATCAGAAGCAGCAGCGACGCATGACTCATGGAGCAGCAGAAGCAATAGGCCGGAGCACCCAGCAGCAGCAGCAGCAGGAACAGCAGCAGCAGCAAAAGCCTTTACCTCATCAAGAGAGACATCCCTTTCATCAGCTAGCAGCAGCAACTTGGGTCCGCCTTCTGCTCGCTTCCGCCGATGCAGTCGCGTCTCTCCTGCTGCTGTTGTTGCTGCTGCTGCTGTTGTTGCTGCTGCTGCTGTTGCTGCTGCTTCTGCACTGTCTCTCCCTGCCTCCTTGCTGCTGTACAGCAGCGCAGCAGATGCTCCCGCTGCTGCAGTGCCTTCTATGGTTTGTCCTATGTCGACTGTCCCTGCTGCTGCTGCTGCTGTTTGCTGCTGCTGCTGCTCCTGCTGCAATGGACGCGCAGCGTCGCCAGCAGCAGCATCAGCAGCCGCAGCTGCTGCTCCTGCCTCTAAGTGCTTCCGCTGCTGCTTCAGGCTGTCTGTAGACGCAGCCCTGCATACAAAAGTACTTCCTAAACCCTAAACCCTAAACCCCAAACCCTAAACCCTAAACCCTAAACCACAAACCCTAAGGGTTTATGCTTACGCCTTCGCCTGCCGTTTCTGCTGCAGTGCAGCAGAAAGAAAAGAAACTGCTTCATCGAGAAGGCCGTGCAGACGATCCCACTTGCTTGTTGCTGCTGCTGCTGCTGCGGCTGCTGTTGCTGCTGCTGTTGTTGCTGCTGCTGTTGTTGCTGCTGCAAACGGGGGAGGCGCCAGAGCTTCGTGGAGACACAGCAGCACGGCAAGGAGACCCGCATTCAAACTGTCTCCTGCTGTTATCTGCATGCAACAGCAGCAGCAACAGCAGCAGCAGCAGCAGCTCATAGCCCCACCGCACGTAGCCAATGTATACAGTGTATATACACACATCTATATACAACTTATTCAAATAAACATACACACACATATTATATATATATACATATATATAATATATAATATATATTATATATTATATATATAATACATATTATATAT